TGCGCCGGGCCCTGCTCCTTCAAGGGGCCAGTCATGCTGCGAGGGCTGTGACAGCAACGATTGAAAGGGAAAATGGTTTCCCTCCCCTGCCACGCCTGTCTCCTGTGCATCCTCAACACTCCCGGGGCCCTGAGAAGCACCCCAGGAATTCACAAAAAATGACAGAATTCATTCGGTTGGTTTTGTTGTTGCTTGTTTACAAGCCCGGGCCCTGCTCCTTCAAGGGGCCAGTCATGCTGCGAGGGCTGTGACAGCAACGATTGAAAGGGAAAATGGTTTCCCTCCCCTGCCACGCCTGTCTCCTGTGCATCCTCAACACTCCCGGGGCCCTGAGAAGCACCCCAGGAATTCACAAAAAATGACAGAATTCATTCGGTTGGTTTTGTTGTTGCTTGTTTACAAGCAGGGATTTCCCTGCACCCCCCCCCCATGGGGGTATATATCCCCCGAATTTCCCCAACACCTCCCCAGCTTTGTGACCTATGGTGCCATACAACCCACCTTGACCCTCATGGTGTCACCGTCATCGGTTCTGACACCCCCCCTTGTAAGTTCGAACCCCCCCTAATTTCGGTTCCTGGGGAGACTACTGTTACAAGTTCGGAAAAGTGTGATGTCAGCTGGGTTGGCACTGGCAGATACCACAGGCCCTGTGGACAGGAGCCCGGACAGCAGCGTCCAGTCTCACACCCCTGCGACATGGCCAGGAGAAATAGGGGCGTTTCCCAAAGCCAAAAATCAGGGCCAAATCCCAGGTCTGGCTAGAGGGGAAGCGCAGGCAGGCAGCTGAAGGCTACGCACGTGCTCAGGTATCGTAGCGCAGGGCTTGTGCTCTGGGAAGCGGCTGTGCATTATTTCCAAGGCTTGTCGTGCAATGCCATGTCCAACGGCGCCCCTGCGCCTCTGGCGGATCATCCTTTCCGTTTCTTGTCCTAGGCTGTCGGTGGCCCCTTCCTGCTGGGAACCCCACGCCGGGGTGACTCCTCCCTTCCGACAGCATGAAGCCCAAGAGATGCTTGGCCCGCAGCGGTGGGGCTGTCCCGACCCGGTCCATGGCTTTGCTGGTTCCCCCAGCCCCACGAGCCCGGCCGCGCCGGGAACCGCTCCCCGGGTCTGCCTGTGCAAGGCCTGCCCAGGGGCTACTGCAGAAGAGCCCAGGTTCTGAGGGGTCACTAGGCAACCTCCCGGGTCAGTGGCAGTTTTTATCAACTGGCGTGGATGGACTCTGAGATCTGATTGGCCGGGGCGGAGTTACCCTGTGATTATTTGACATGAAAAGCGCAGGGGCGACAAAGCCGCTTCACCGACAGGATCCCTACGCCCCAGCCTGGCTGGCGGCTCCCGCGCGGCTTTACCCCTGCACGTCCCGGCTGTGTGAGGCCTTCTTGTAACAGAGGGAGGGTATCGGAAACGGGCCGCGTCGCCGCCAGAAACCAGCCAGGTTTTCTCCCAGGGAAGGGGCCTTTGGGACTAACAGGAGCGCCAATGCCACCCCTCCGGGCACATCCCGGCACTGGGGTCCCACGTCAAGGCAGGAGGGAGGCGGTGGCCTGGTCCCAGGGCCCCACTGCAGCTGGGCATGGGCTGCTCTCGTTAACTCCCAACCCTAGGAGAGGCAGAGGCAGCCCCCCCCCCGTGCCAGACGCACCAAGCACACTTCTGGCTCAGCTGAGCAGCTGGCCCAGAGGGTCAGGGCCAGGCAGGAAGGAGCAGGGCTCTCCCTAGGATTTCTGGGGCTCTGTGCAGTACTATTAAAATGGCGCCTTTCTGCCCGATGGCACCGCCAGATCGGTAAACCTCCTTTCTTGGGGCATAAGGATCTTGCGGGAAAAGGTTTTTTTGGGGAAAAAGAAAACGTCCACACTGCTTTTTTTTGCGCAAAAACCCCAGTGCAAAAACGGATTGGCAGAAAATATGCAAATGAGATCACGACTCATGCAAATGAGTCCCTCATTAGCATTTTTTTTGCCAAGAAAACTCGTAGTGTAGATGTAGCCTTAAAGACTAACACGGGTATTAGGGCGTAAGCGTTCGTGAGATACACTCACTTCCTCAGACGCTTGAAGAAAAAGAAAGCAGGGAGGCAGAGCTGGGAGAGACACCAGTGCTAATTAAACCCGGGGGGATGTGGCTGGTGTCCAGCAGTGATGAGAAGGGGAAACGATCTGTTCTATGAGACAGCCATTCCATGTCTCTACTCAGACCCATTCTGATGGTCTCAACTTTGCATACAAATTCCAGCTCAGCAGTTTCGCTCTGCAGTTTGTTTTTGAAGGTTTTTCCCCTAAGAATGGCACCTTGCAAGTCACTAAGGGTGCGTCTACCCAGCACCGTAACTCGAAATAAGAGACACAATTTGAGCTATGCAAATTGCTTATCTTATTTTGATGCCATTTTGAAATAGCTTATTTTGTTATTTGGCACTGTCTACACAGCGCCAAATTTGGAAATAAAGCGCTATTCCAAAACGTCCCTTACTCCTCGCAGAATGAGCTTTACAGGGACATCGGAATAGTGAGCCCAAAATAACAGGCTTGCTCTGAAGATGCGGGATAGCTTTCAGCGTCCTCATGCCTTCCTTTCCCCTCAGCACCTTGCTTGGGCCCACCGGTAGAGTGCAGCCAGGGCACACGCATCTCTGCTCTGTGTTCCTTGGAAACTGAGTGCTTGGCAGCTAGCCAGCAGAAATTAAAATGCTGCCCAGCTAATTAGCAGAGCACCCACAACTGCCCGCACTGGCAGCATGTTTCTGCCAGTGGGACACATCTGCACATGCCTCAGTGCACAGAACAAAATGTATTCCACACACAGATGGAAAAAAATGAGAGGGAAGGTTGCCCCTCCCTCC